ACTGTAACTTGAAACTTTGGAATTTCTTTAAAAATAAAAAATTGCACTGGGCCGCATTATGAGCCGACCTGGGCCACATGCGTTCCTTGGACCACAGGTTGGACAAGCCTGATCTAAAGTACTATTGTACCATCTGAATTTCTAAGTGGGTGAGGTACACAGCCACAGCAGAAGTGTTACCCCAACAGCATATTATTTTTTTTACATACCCAAATTAATGGCCCATACCTTGCCTTGCCCCTTCCCATTTTTTGTTGCCTAAGTTCCAAGGGTAAAATCTAATGATGCTTTTCTACAAAAAAGAAAAGAAAAGAAAAGAAAAGAAATTATTCTACCACCAAAATCAATAGGGAGGTAGTTTTCCCCACAGCTGGTAGACTTCTGTACACCCTGAGCAGGAAGGTTGAGGATTGCTCTAGAGCAATGGTGGTGAACCTTTTTGGGCCCGAGTGCTCAAACTGAAAAGAAGAAGAAAAAAAACAGCACACCACAACGGAAGTGGTGGCGGAAGGGGGATTCCCGGGCACGGAGGTGCATCGAGCCCCCACTCGAAGTGGTAGCACTGCAGCTGCAGCCACCTCCTGAGGTTTGGCTGCGGGGGGGGGTGGGGAGTAGAGAACCAGCAACTTATGACTTGCGTGCCCGCAGAAAGGGCTCTGCGTGCTAGCTGTGGCACACATGCCATAGGTTTGCCATCGCTGGGCTATTGGTATTCATATTCCATGGGGATATGAATATGAATAGTGGCACCACAGGTGCCATGGAGGCCCATTCCCTCCCCCAGAACCAGCCAGTCCACTCACCAGTTGCCGTGCAGCCCTGGGGTCCTTCATTGTCATTGTACCAATCTGGGAAGAAGCCTGGCTGGCACTTCCTTGCTTCTCTGCAGAAACAACCATTCATCAGCTAAGTGGGTGAATAGCGAGTGCAACGAATAGCGATGAATTTGAATAGTGATGAGTTTTGGGGGGGCATTTTAGCGCTTTGATTAGCGATGGATTTTTGCGCTTTGATTAGCGATGGCCCCTATGGGTAATTTTCAGTTAGCGATGATTGGGGTGGCGGCGGCTGCGGAGGAAGGGAAAGGGGGAAGGGAAGGCTTGCTTCTCCTGGGGCGGCGGCAGCCACCCGTCTCCCAGCGGCCCGGCCAGGCCTCCTCCGGCTCCTCCTGGCGGCACTGGGGGTCGAGGGAGGGAGGAAAAGAACAAAGGGACCCCCCCCAGCAGGCAGGGACGGGCGGGGGGCCATGACGCTCCTTCTGGCCTGGCTGGCTTCCTCCTCCTTCCTCGCTCCCTCTCTGGCTGGCTTTGTTCTGACTCTGTTTTAATTTATTGTTGATTTTTTATCCCCCATTGAGATGCATTGAATAGGTTTCAATGCATTTCAGTGGGGGAACCGTGTTTTGAATAGCGAGGTTTCCTATTGAGATTTTCCATTAGTGACGGCAATTCGTTCCAGTTGGAACGGATTAGCCGGCTTTCAGTGCATTTCAGTGGGAAACCACGTTTTAAATAGCGATGAAATCAAATAGCGATGTTTTTTGCGGAACGCATTAACATCGCTATTCAAGGCACCACTGTATGTGCAGACCTTCTCCTTCTGGGAGAGGCTACCACTAGCTTTCTCTTATGTTCACATTTATGACATGTCTATCTTACCGTACCCACTTAGTACTGATGAAACAACACCCTGTTATTCTTATCTTAATTTCAGGTCCAGTTTTCATGGTTATTTTTTGCAGGGGCAATCCCTGTATTTTTTTCATTTTTCATTGTAACTCTTCTATGTCACTATAACAACTGGGATCCAGTAATGGTGGGAATTAGAAGAATTTTTGTGTTCATTTGCAGAAGACACCGTATTCAGAGGTAGGGTAACCTTTGTTTTCATATTGCCATGCGCACACCAGTTTTATCTGTTTTTATTAATTATACCCTCTGTCATAGATGACTTCAGTAAAACTTCATCTATAGGACTTTGCATGTATTTTAAATCATCTAGTTCAAAATTATATGCAATATATACTGTGCTAGGACCTTGCTGTAAATTTTAATTTTCTTGTTAAAAAGCATTCTGAGATGTTTGTGTAAGAAAACATTGATTCTTTGACGTTATTTTATATAGTTCTAACATCTGTTTAAAATCTGAAGATTTGAAATTAGCAGTATAGAATGGCAAAGGCACACAGAATTACTGTATTCAGATCTCTTGATGATTCTGGATGCAAACACAGAATTATTCAGATCTCTTGATGATTCTGGATGCAGTTCAGTCTGTACATGACAAGTCTCTTACAGAAACTGAGAAGATAGTTCTGTCCTACCAGCACTGTGGATGTGTTAATGTAATCTTTTATTATTCTGTTGCATAGAGAATCACTCACACTACCTTCTCAACTTGCAGAACCTCTGAGGAAAATGAGCAATGTGAAAGTCTAATTGCAATGCACAGTGTTTCTCAAGAAGATGGAGGAGGTGGTTGTTCGTAGACAACAGGTCCTTATATAATGGTAACTTGGCTTGCACCTATAATTGTGAAAAGGAAAGCATGGGAACACTAGGAAAGAGCAGAGGGTTGCTGATAGTCCCTCCCAGGCCTCCCAACCACTTCCAAAGAAGAAGGAAAAAATGAAAGAGATCATCCAGACAATTTTCTTTTATTTTATATATATCCCCCCCTCCGCTTGCTAATTCCTCTGTTAATTAAAAAGGATCGACACCCATCTCTTTTCTACACATCTGTTGCTGATAATCTTTTTGATAGCTAGCTGAAAGCTTTGCAGTACTATTTCATCTGCAATTATCAGCTTTAAGCTGGAGGAATTTTTAAAGTCGTTCTATATAAAAGTTTCGTGGGACGTGGTGGCGCTGCGGGTTAAACCGCAGAAGCCTTTGTGCTGTAAGGTCTGTAGATCTTCAGCTGCAAGATCGAATCCACGTGACGGAGTGAGCGCCTATGGCTTGTCCAAGCTCCCGCCAGCCTAGCGGTTCGAAAGCATGCAAATGCGAGGAGATAAATAGGGACCACCTCGGTGGGAAGGTAACAGCGTTCTGTGTCTAAGTTGCACTGGCCATGTGACCACAGAAGATTGTCTTCGGACAAACGCTGGCTTGGAAATGGGGATGAGCACCACCCCCTAGCGTCGAACACGACTGGACAAAAATTGTCAAGGGGAACCTTTTCCTTTTATATAAATCCTGGGCCAGTTGTCGTGAGGAAGAGTCTGTTTCATTGCTAACAGTTGCTGCAATGTAGTGTTCATAATAACACTAGCATATCTGCTTCTCCAGGTACCAGTGTAATAATAGTATTATTTAAGAAAAGTACCTTGATTTTCTAAGAATCCCTTCTTTCCTTTATATGTTTAATCCTGGGCCAGTTGTCGTGTAGTTGCATTCTTAGAACTATTTGATCTTCAGTTACAGCATTTGTTAATAGAGATTGTAATATAGTAAAATTAAAAATTCCATTCTTTTCATAGGATGACATGGAATGATAATTCAGCGAAGGGACAATCTCCTGGCAAATCCTCATGGAATCATGTTTCAGTGCCTCTTCTGAAGCTATAAATGTTTCAGTTCTTTTGAAACTTAAAAATACACTGTCACTTTCTCAATTTCCAATCTTGAATCAGTTTTATTACAGAGCTACTTTACTGCAGGAAATTCCAGCCTTTTTTTACAAGACCAGTCTGCCTTATAGAACTCAGCTGGTGAAATTACTTGACACACTTGAGGAACTGAATGCTGTTCTAGTGACTTTTTTTCAAGCTTTCAATATTGGTGTTAAATGCTGGATAAAATTTTTACAAATACTGTTCAAATTCTGTAAAAAGTCTGTGGATCGTAATTTTGTACAAACTTTCAAATGACATTCTAAAATACTCCAGTTGCCTGTAATAGGTACAGATTTCCATTTTATGATGTGTAAGCTGTACTTGAATAGGAACAAAACAAAAGAAAAAATATTTTAATTTATTAAAATAACTTCATTACCGCAGGAGCTGGTGTGGCTCCCCAACACTACATAAACACTCTTCATTGTAGGAGTTTGGGTGCCTTGTGTTTGAAATACCTATTCTCTCCTAATAAATTCAACATTTTAAAGAACTGTTCATGTAAAAGATCAATAACATTGAAATCTGCCTTAAAGAGCCTTTTAATTTAATTATTAGTTTAAACTAAGTACTTCTGAACTGGACCAAATCAAATTACTTCAGATAGAGACTAAAGCAGAGAAAAGTTTCTAAGGTTGCCTTTGTAAAATGTGATTTGAACTGTACCGTGGCTGGAAGTTCTGTGGTTTGTGGTCCCCGTCTCCATTTTCTTGCCCTTTTGAAAGTTGGGTTAAAATCTGGAATGAATGCCTGGTTGAGAAGGGATGTTTCAGTTTTTTCTTTTCTGATGGTTGTTTTTCTGCTCAGCTGTGCCTCCTCGCTTTTTGCAAGTTGCTTTCTCTTGAAGGAGAAAAGGATACAGGCCCCCACATGTAATTTGTCCCTGGAGCCAGAGAATAACATGTACACCTTGCATCCATTTATGCACAGTATTCCCTATCAGCCAGAGGGGCCGGGCTCCATGAGTGATGAGTATTGCAACTCAAGGTTGTGGTTGTTTTTAAACTGACTGTAGTTGCCAGTTGAATGGAGGGGAGAAAAAAAATCTTGCTAAGAGATTCTTGTAGAATAATATATATAATACATTTAATTATTTGTAAACGGGACACCATTGTGTGATTTTACCTAGAGATACACAGTAGGAGTGAATAGGGTTTTTCTATTTGTATGGAAAGAATATGTTTGCTAGAATGTGCATTTTAAAAAAGTTTCAATAATAATATGCTGTATACTGTAGAGAAGAGCTGTTTGACAGTACACAGTGACACATGTGGGAGCTACATACCAATTAGCTCTTTCACAGTAGGAAAAAATCAGACACTTTAATAGTACAAAAAAGAGAGATGGCATAGGGTTAATAGGCTTTTTTGTGGAGAAAAATCATTTATATTAGAGCATTCATAATTTAAAATTATGGACTTATATGAAATATATGTGAAATTAGAAATAAATTAAAATGTTAAGATTGTTACATTTTTTTTACCAGAAGTGGGCTACTTCAATAGTGTTATCTTGCCTATTTGCTAGATTTTGTTTGTTGCATGTGGTGGAGCATAAGCTGCATGCACATAAGTGTTGCATTGATTGAGTTTCTCCACAGTCAAAATTTGTCCTGTATCTACTTGATTATTCTTTGATCTTTCTACTTTGTTTTGAAGTCTATAAAGTGACTTCCAGATGGTCCAGCTAGAGTCTTCTCCTGATAGGAGACACTCTTCAACATTCATCCATTTGGCAAGGTGTGTTGTTTTTGTTCTCCATAGGTTTAGCCTAGCCTCTTCTGGTTTAATATTTAGAGCTTGAGATGTGTGCAGAAAACTTTTCCTTGATTTTAGCCATTGTCCAGAGGGTTGGTGTTCATGAAGTCGATGGATTTGCTGATGTGCTTCCTTATTTCATTTGTTATTTGCTAGCACCTCTTGATGTATTTTTGGAGGGGCAATGCCAGCAAATAATAGACTTTTTCAATGGGAACAGATTTCAGGCAGCCAAATTTTGCATGATTCATTAAGAGTTACATCCACTTGTTTGGCATGTACTGATTTATACCACGTGGCATTAGCATATTCTGCTGTGGAGTAGCACAGGGAGAAAGCTGTTCTTTGTGGATATTAGACTCAGACAATTTCCCAAGTATGCTATTTCTGGGGCATCTTTCTGTCTCGTGTTAGACAGTGTTTTTTTCTAGGTCAGAGTTCAATCCAGAGTGATGTGTAAATGCTTTGGAGTAGGGCAGTGTTCCAAAATCTTTTCTTCCCAACTAACTTCCTCTCTGCTCTTTAGGTGAGAGGCACAAACCTGCATTTTTAAAGGATTTGATTTCTACTTGTTTTTATAATACTGCATAAGGAAAGTTCTTTTAATGCAGAGGTTAGCTGGTGCTCCGTGGCCTCAAAGGTTTTCCCCTGAACATCAAGACAAAATAATCAGCATAGATGAAACTGCTGGAGTATGGGGATGCTGGTCGATCATTTATGTGAATGTTAAAACATAATGATGTCAATTGTGATTTTAAAGGCATAAGTAGCAGAAGATGGAGACCCAAACCCAACTGTTAAGTTTCATCACTGCATCTGTGGGAATGTGGCAGATGAATACTTACATTAGTAACGTCAAGACAAGATAATCAGCATAGATGAAACTGCTGGAGTATGGGGATGCTGGTCGATCATTTATGTGAATGTTAAAACATAATGATGTCAATTGTGATTTTAAAGGCATAAGTAGCAGAAGATGGAGACCCAAACCCAACTGTTAAGTTTCATCACTGCATCTGTGGGAATGTGGCAGATGAATACTTACATTAGTTCAATTGATCCAGTGGGTCTGCTCCAAATGGAACTAGCACTTGATTTAGGTGATGACTACTAGTTACAGTGGCGTCATAATAATTCCAGGAATAGATGTGGTGTGTCTCTGAATACTGGTTACTGGGGAATAACATTGGGAAGGGACTGTTTTCCTCCTATCCTGTGTAAATAAGCATGAATACTGTGCATGAACAGATGCAATGTCTATGTGTTATTCTCTGGCTCCAGGGACAAATTACATTGTAATTTGTCAATTATGTTGACAAATTGCAGGGCCTGTATCCTTTTCTCTTTCAGGAGAAAGCATAGGCATTTGGTTGGCCACTGTGAGATACTAAACTAGGTAAACCTTTTGTTTGTTCTAATCCAGCTGGATTATTCTGTTAATAACCATGTGCAACACTTATTGCATAGGGAAGCACAATTCTGACACTATTCCTCTTCTGGCACACTATGTCTAGATGAACGAGAAGCCTTCCGGTAACATAAAGGCAACACTGACTTCTGTCTTTAGGCTATGTATTGCTATGTATGCATACTTTACAGTCAGCCCTGTTAAATACAAGGCAACTTCAATCATTTACATACAAACACATTGCATATTTAATGCAGAGGTGCTAAAGCAATGTAAGTTGGTTCTTTCAGAAACATTTTGTACATTTTGTTTATTTGACATGATTAGTGAAAAGACGAGAGCAATGTGCTTGGAATGCTTGGGAACTATGAAGTGAATTTATAAGGCTCAGCATGTGTTATACTTTAAATCAGGGGTCTCCACACTTTTCACATGGAGGGCCACATAATATATTTTTGATATTTTCAAGGGCTGAAGGAACGAACGCACAAATGCGCGCACACACTCCCACCACACTCCCACCTGCATGCACGCACTTCCACCCATATAAACGTGCACACGCACTCCCACCCACCCGCAGGCACTCCTGTCCACACGATGTAAGCACACCTGCACTCCCACCCACGCCCACCTACGCACACGCATACACACCTGCCCGTTGCGGACAGATGTGGCCAACAGGCCATACTTTAGAGACCCCTGCTTTAAATGGAAAGGGATTTGATCCATCTTTGACTTGTGAGAAAGGAGAGACTGATTTTTTTTTTGTGATGTCCTCAGTCCATTTACTCGACTGATCCAGAGGGTCCCAGACCTGCAGAGCAGACTTGCAGATGTAAAATGCTGAAATTGTACCATCCAATCTGGCAGTGGCATGACTGGATGGACAGAATTCTACTTGCAAGAAATCCAGATCTGTCTTTTTACTAGTTGTTTTTATGCAAACTGTTTTAACACATTGACTGAATCTTTTTGTCTGCCTCATCAAGTCCAGTATTTTCAGAATTGAATGTTCCTGGTTATGTCTGGTCATCATAAAGCACTGCTCTCCATGAACTTTGTATAGCCATGCTTTTAAAAAGAAAAGGACACAGCCCACTGCAACTATGAAATGTGTAAAGCCTCCACAGAAAGTGGATTGTGCTATTCTCCCTGTTTGATTTCCATTTTGATTGATTTGTAATGTGACCTTGGGTAAAGTTCTAACCATGTGAGGGAGTAGGATTTTACTGCAATCAAATTACTAAATTGCTTTAGGAAGTTAAGCTTAACTTGAAAGATTCTGAGTTGGAGCCTGTCTGGAGTTGAAAAACGATAATCTGTTAATGCATCAGGCAGCTGAAAAAGCAAACAATAATAACGATTTGCTTCATTACAGTTCTGCTGTTTGATTGAGAGTGTCAGATTTGGGACAGTAAAAGCTGGCAACTACCTCACATTTTCATAGCAACTGGAGTAATAATTTGGTGACATGAGTGTAGTAATGTGCCTCCTGTGGATAATTTTGCTTTCAGGTAGGCAAGCCATAATGTTTATAAAGAAGAAAAATGCTTTTTCTACATTAAACCACACAAAGTGCACAAAATATAAGCAAAGAATAGCAATAGAACCATGACCAGCAAATGTGCATAAAATCTTAGTAAGTTAAAACAAATTTAGAGTGAAAGGTTTCAGCGTACGACGTTGTGACATTTACCACGTGCTCCCTGCTTATTTCACAAAACAACAAGCTCACGTTACGTATCCTACCACGTCCTTTACCACACTGCCACCAGTTGATCTCTTTACCAACTGTTTCCTTTGAAAGACTAAGGTCCATTCAGTACTTAACTTTGAAATAAGAATTGGTTTATTGTTTACAAGTTGTTTCAGGAATAGTTCTTAAGCACATTCTTAAAGTTACACAAAGCGTTCAATATTTTCCTTTAACCTTTTCTATATTTAACTAATACAGATAACACTCTGACTGTTCACCCCCTAAACTCTCTCTCTCTCTGCCTCGAAACCCAAATCTTCTCTTCAAATCTATCTATCTGCTCTCTGTCCTCCCTATCTACTCCACACTCTGCTTCAGCCCTCCTTCTATATAGCTGGCTGCGCCTCCCAGCAGCTCCCTATTGGTTCATACAAATCCATTGCTGCATATGCACGCCAGGGTGACCACTACAGATGTCAACTTCTGTCATTGAAGCTAACACCTTAAGTCAAAACATTTTACTCTACTTGCTTATAATTGATTAAAATTATATACACACTTGCCTATTGAGCTTTTATTGCTGGAGACTTTAGGATACAGTATTTATATTTGATTGTGAGTGTATTTATTAGGGGAATTGACAGCCTTTGGCCATCCCCCTGT